GAGGGTTGTAGAATCCCAAAACCCATCCTTGGGGTGGATACCCACTTGGTAGAGTAGAAATGTACATCTTTCCCCTCTCAAAATCCAAAAAAGAATGAATGGACCCTTTGTTTCAAGTTTTGTATTCTCCACTAGGAGTGAGCAGATGGGTAGGTTCTACCTGGAACCGATCTCATCCAATTTGTTATAGGGTAGGGTTTGGTTCCAAATTCTTGGAATTGATCCCCACCTAAGTCAATTTCAGAGTCTAAGGGTTTACCATACCCAAACCAACCTGATGAACCAGCCTTGGTTGGCTTTGGTGGAACTGGCATTGGAACTAAACTTGCTTTTAAATAAACCCCAAAATATTTTTAACGATTTAAAGATTTGAGCCCAAGCACTCATGGTTACAAAAGCCATGGTGTCACTTGACCATCAATGTACTTAAGTGATTTGATCATTTATTTTCATTTTAATATTTGTATGTATATAATAAATAATGTAAAAGGTAATATTTACATAATTTAAATCATAATTACAAGTTTTCTAATAATAAATTAATATATTATGATAATCTATATATTAAATTATTTAATTTAATTAATAAAAATAATATAAGATTTAAATTATATATTATCATTATTGAAAATCAAGTTTTTGAAGGACATAAAGAAAGATCAGGTTCCACATGTAGACTTTAGAATTGACCCCAAAACTGCCAAGGCCAGAATTGACCTTCACAGGATAGGTTACAGTAGGCAAGGTTCAAAGTATCGGAAACGCAAGGTGTATCGAAAAGGTAATTTTAAGAGACGTATCGAGATACGCTTTGGAAACGTATAGATACTGACGAAAAATCAAGATACGCACGTATACACTAGAAAATCCAAAAAAAAAATCCTTAAAAATATGAACAATAATAAAAATAAGTTTTGTGAGTATAACTAATTTATTTAAACATAAAAACCATTCTTCAATTAGATAATATTTTTTTTTGAAATCATTTATTAGTTAATATTTATTATATATAGAATTAGATAATATTTATTATGTATACAAGTTAATATATACATTAATTTTTAATAAATCAATATAACTTGTATTCATCTTATTATTATATAAATATTAATAATCAAATTTATAGCATTTGTGAGGAAACATCCACCAAGGCAAAAAAGATTACTTTAAGTATAAAAAAACATGTCTCTTTAATAAGTAATTAATGTTGGCATAATGGTTAATTAATTATTGTTATAAGCAAATGACCTAGGTTCGAAACTTGTTACATTTGGTTTGTAATTTTTAACAAGTTATTTCACTTAAATAACATTTAATGACATTATTAAATGCTGTAATCAGGTAACTTAAATGAGCATTTAATTAAATTATATTAGCATTTAGTGACGTCCCAAACTTTAAGACTTAATTAAAATTGATATTAACGAGAGAGAAGAGATAAATTAAATTTAAATTTAAAAAGAAGAGGAGAATTAAATTCGATTAATACATATTGCGTATCGGTCCGTTTCGGATATGTATCGGCCGTACAGATGAAAAAATACGAAACCCTGTAATTAGACATGTTCCGTGTATCGGAACTCTTCCGAAATAATACGTATCGGCCCGTATCGGCCGATACGTTGCGAAATTTAAAACCTTACCAGTATGGATGCTCACGGTTGGTTAACCGAATCATGGGGTTTTTTAGGACCGAACCGGTACTATCGGTTTTTGGAAAACCGGTAACTGAAACCGAACCGAAACTAGTCAGTTAACCAATTGACCGGTTCGATCAACCGTCAGTTCGGTTCGTTGGTTTTTCGGTTTTTCAATTTTTATAATATACATTATAAAAATATATAATAAAAATTATAAATATATACAAATTATTATATTTTAATTACTAAATAATATATCATATATTATAAATATATATAATACATATTTATTAATTTATAATATATAAAAAATATATAAAATATAAAGAATATATGTATACTGGTCGGTTCGATTAATTGCTGGTTTTCTATATTGGTTAATCGAAACGGAATCAGTACTTTCAGTTTTTTAAAAACACCAAACCCAAACCGAATCGATCGGTTTGATTAACCGAATTTTCGGTTCGATTTCGATCGGTTCAATTTTTCGGTTTTTTTGCTTACCGTTCCAGTTTCAAAAACCTGTAACTGACCCCCTAGATTCTACCATAAAAACCGAACCGAACAGACCGAAGCTTACCCCTGGTTCAATCCTCTTGATCCTCTTTAGGATGCCAATCATTTTTTTCATGGTTTGTCTTGTATGCATCTTCAAGATTGAAACCATTCAATTTGTTGAAATATAAGCGTGAATGATTTAAAGAAAGGATCAAAGGAACGTCGTCTTTTTCTTTGTTTCTAAATGTTTACTTTGCTCTAGGTTCCATTGTAACCCTTCAACGTTTCGGCTTTTTTTCTTTTGGAGCAAAGTGATCTTCGAACGGACCAGGGTCGCCGTTCATCGTGAATGGGGGGTTCGGACTTCGGAGGCGGAGGCGGAGGCTGGTCTGGTTCTTGGCTTCTCGCTCGAACTTCTTTCCTTTGAAATGAGGAAAACAGGCGGAGGCTGGTCCGTTAGTACCGTCAAATCTTGATTTTAATACAGGGAGGCGTGTTTGCTTCTCATTGGAGGTCGCTGGATAATGCGGCAATCGCGGTTGCCGCAGATGCCGGAATCCATTCGTGATTGGTTACGGTCTTACGGAGCCCGTTACACATACGGAGCGAATAGAAGATCAATTGAAGATCTCGGCTCTGTCAGACAACGTGTTGAGTTTTAAGATTCTCCGGGAAATTCGAGGGTTTGTCAGTTGTCCCTCCCACCTTAATGGGAAAATTGCAGAGGTGAGATATCGCGAGTTATCTACTCAGTTTACTATTTACAGATCTCCTCGTTTTAAGGAAGCTCCTCTGCTTAATCACAAGCTTCATTTTCTCGTCGTTAAGTTGTTTTCAAATGATCCTTGACCAGGAAACCAATCAACAATGAGGATGAACATTCTCAACTCTTAAGAAAGAGAACGTTCGACTTCTCAGCTTTATGCGGCATTCATGCTTGTTTTGTTATGGGACAAATGGTGAGATCATGATTTGGCTGGAGAGTTGGACGGATGCCATCTGTGTCATCAACCAATACCAGATATCTCAGCAACGAACAAAAGAAGCGAGATTTCAGTCTGTCTCTCCAACTTTTTAAAATCTCAGGAAAAACAACTCCATGGAGGGGAGAAAGTCGACCGAACATGCACACGTGGAGACAATACCAAATTCTTTGTTCCCAACATGGGACGACCGTTTCCATCAATTATTGGAGAAGTCGCTGAGGGACTTGGAGCATTACAACCGATGCTCATGTTTCATCCTCATATGCATCAGTTGATCAGTTGGGTGATGGGTTCCTCAACTTCGATTTTCAAGGTCTAGTCGTTAAGGCCAACGGAGGTATGTTTTAGGATCTAGTATAGGAGACATGGAACAACTTTTAATATCTTCCTCTGTGTCAACTAATTGGGTGGAAGATTGTTTTGCCTTTTCTTTTCTTTGGGAAAACCAGCAAGCTCACTAAGTTACTCTAAGTTATACTTGTTTCTAGGATATGTGTCTTTGAATTGATTTTGTTACTAATTATGTTAATTTATGGTTTCTATAATGGGGTTCCTTGTTTGGGAAGTTTTCCTTGAAAGAATCAACACAGATGACCTACTTCAAAGAAAAAGATCCAATAGCTGTTTATCTCCACACTGGTGTGTTTTATGCAAAGCTGCTGGTGAGTCTGGGCACTTACTAATATCTTGTGTTTTGGCAAAAAATATTTGGGATTGGTTTGTTTCTTTATTTGGGTGCAGGTGGACACCTCCAAATAGTCTGCAAAGCTTGTTTTCCTCTTAACCTATTGAATGCTCAACGAAAACATCAAGAATTATGTGGAGATGCGTGAGAGCTGCTGTTTGTTGGACACTATGGGAGGAAAGAAATGGAAGAATCTTCTCAGAAAGGGAGAGAGGCTTGGAAACTTTGGTAGAGTTGACTCGTATAAGAGTAATACACTGGCTGAAGACAATGAAGCAGTTTACAGATTTTTCAACAAATGATATGCTAAGAAAGTGGAAAGAAGTTGCTACCTCAGTTACAAGGAAGAAGACTTTGAATCTCATGTGGAACCCTCCACCTCATGGTTTTATCAAACTAAATTTTGATGGCAGTAGCATGGGGAATTCAGGGCCTTCGGGTATTGGGGGGGTCCTAAGGGATGAGAGAGGTAATGTAATACCTATGTTCTCATGTCCAATTGGGGTGGGAGACTCCTTGAGGGCTGAGGTGTTAGCAGTGTTGGAAGGGGTACAAAGGGCCAAAGAAATTCAAGTTAAGAAACTGCTTATAGAAGGAGATTCTGCGATTGTTGTGGATTGGCTGAAAGAAGACACTCCCAAGATGTGGAGCTACAGCAATGAGAAAAGAAAATTCAAGTGGCTCATTAAGGATATGGAAATCCTATGTACTTGGGTTAGAAGAAATGCTAACTCCTTTGCTGATGGATTGGCTAGGCAAGGAGTTTTTAGAAATTCTGGGTTTTGGGCTCAATTGTGAGGGTCTGAGTGTTTAAATCAGTTGTACTTCTTTTCTGGGGAGTTAAGTATCTTTAGCTCCCCTTCCCTGTAACTTTTTTCCTATTTTAATGAATTATGTGGTTATTGATCAACAAAAAAAAAATAACGGGGTTCCTTGCTTTGCAGAAGTTTTTTCTTTTTTTCTTTTTGGTTCTGATCATCACCGGCGGGGGATTATGTACCATGTAAATACAAGATTAAGAAAGAAACCAACAGGGATCATATGTATGGTACAACCCCTGAAATTTTACTGCTTTATGGCTTTTCCTCCTCCCTGGTCATCTATATTAATTCATGAGAGCATGTCTGCACGTTGACGAATTGAAAAAAAAAAATTGCACGTTAATTAAGCTTCTAAAGAGAGAACTGGAAGTTCATTTCATTTTGTTTCTATTCATAATAATACCACCAATGAGTCAACTGCAACAACAATAAACATGACTATTTCCCCCTTCATCTCATTTGAAAATTTAATTTCCCTATAAAATATGCAAAAAGAAATGCAAATGCAAGTGGAAATGCGAAGAGAACAACAGCAACAACACCTAAGTAATGATGATAAAATCCATAATAATCTTGTATGAAGGAACTGATGGTTTTGATTTCTCCAAATATTGTAATCTCTGTGTCTATGTCTCCATACTGTGAAGTAAGGATGCCGTTTAGGGACCAGGATGTTGGACATATCCAGTAGAACCAAATCCACCATTTTGGAATTTTCTGCATGGAAAATTACAGAATTTAACCTTAGAGGGAGGGAGCATATGAAGAGATAAAGATTGAATGGCTAAGCATCCAAAGCAACTGTTTAAATTTGATAATTTATAGGATCAAGGATCTATTTGTAGTCAGCTGTTTTATAAGGTAAGTTACCATTCGTGTATTTATGACCATCTCTTGTAATATCTATATATAGGAAATAAGGAACCAATTGGATGATTCCCCACCACCCACTGCTTAAATAGACCAACTAATTATCAATGCATAAATTTAATGAGAAAGATGCAGTGATTGTATTTACCGGTCCAGGTATTAGAAACCCTGAGAAAAGACTCAGCATGGTGTAGGTTGCAGATGCCAAGACAGAAGCAACTTGGAGATTTGAGCTTAGTGAAACTATTAGCATCCCCAGGTATAAAAAGTAGAGAAATGTACAGAATGTTATGTAGAAATACCAGAAGATTTTTGTTGCTGACAGGTAGTACCCTATTGTCGGGTATGTTATGACTGTGTACAAAGCTGCTTGGACTATTGTATAAGGAATCTCAATGGTCACCTTCAACATGAAAAAGTATACTTATGCATCATTTTCTATATATATAATGATGAAATTGAATATCAAATGAAAGGAAAATAATGCTAAGTGATCTGAAAATATGTTCAGACCTGTGCAAATGAATAAGCCCTTGAGGAGTACATTCCAGCAAATTTTTCCCGGTATAGAACGATTCTCTCAGTTGCCACGTGTGGTAGAACTGATGAACAGTTGTTTACACCTAAGAATATCATAGCCACATATACTTCTCCAAGTATGTTGAATAAATCTTGTTGGTCATTTCTATAAATCAAGTAGAAGACAGTGATTCAGTATTTTTTTGCCTTATTTGTTCAAATAAACTGAGAAAAGTCAAATTCAAAACCTAAAATCTTAGACTTGTGCATATCTATGATCAGCATTCTCTTAATTTAGATGGAACTGAACTTCTCTTTTCTTTCTTCTGATTTTATATCAACAAGTGGGGTAACTTTGTTAGGGATTTTTTGGCCATAGGACTGGTATTTTCCATGGAACATGGCCTATTCACTTTTGTCTTTTTCATGACATGAACTGAATTATATAATTGGCTTACATTATCTTCCCTTTCTGCCAGAAAACTGCTCCAAAAAGCATGGCTGAAATGGTTGTAAAAGTTAGGCGCACCAAGATGTATTCAGGACTTCTCCAATAAGACAAGTGTTGTTTCCATAAGCATGCCATGAACTGCTTCCAACCATTCTGTGGGAAACGAGTAGGAAAATGCATGTTTGTTGAACCTGGTGGTGGCTCTCTTAATTGCTTAACAAGCTCTTTATTGTCCCTACACAGGGTGATAATATAAAGATTTGCAATATGCATATCAAAAAAAGAAAGATTCTTGTAATATGCATGGACAAATTTAGAATGGTATTTATTGGTGTAAAAAATATATCTTTTTCTCTCAAAATATTGTAGTTATGCACACAAACTGGGATGGACATCAATCAACATTATATAATCTGTCATGAATCCCATTGAGATTTTTATTTATGAATTAGTGAATGGTTATACTCACTGATACAGAGGTGACTTCTTATAGATGTTAGCAAAATCTATACCGAGTTCTGCTTCAGAAGATGCTGAAGTGATTTCTAACATCCATGTTGCTGGGTTATGATTGTCTTTAACCTTTGGCAGATGAGGAATTTCCTGTCAAAAAATTTGGAAGGCTGGATTAAAAACTGCTACCACCTTATATTTATACAATTATTTTCTTAGTTCTACAAAAATGAAAATCCATCAGTTGGGACCAACTGGAACACAACTTGTGCCACTCAGATAAAAAAAAAAAAAAAGAGCAAGAAAAAATGGGGAAAACATTAGGGTATTGGTGAGTTCTCATACTACTAAAGAAGAATAAGGCCCTGAATAAACTTAATAGTTTTTTTCTTCCTATCCAACTAATGAAGTCTCTATACAAGGAAAAGTTGAATAAGACTGGAAACTTGATTATTTTTTCCCTGTCATTTATGTTGTGTCCACCATGGGCATAGAAACTTGATGAAGGTTGTAGATGATTTCACATCAGTCATTCTATGGTTGTTGCAGTTTGTTATGCCTTTCACAGGAAAACCCATGTATTAAGAGTTTCTCAATTAATATGAAGTGTCTGACACTGAATTTGATCCAGACACAGTTTGTTTTACATGTTCCAAGGTAAAACAGACATCGCAAAATAAGCACTGAACAAATGAATGTTCGTGTAAAATAATCTAGGAAAAACATTGACAGTGTATGGTGGAACCTGACAGGATCAATTTTCATATAATGGCTTCTCCGTTTCATAGAGGAAAAGTTGGGGAGCTTGTTCTAGGGAAGGAATAAAGCTTTCATTTGGTGATTAAAATGTTGAACAATGTTTTTAAAGCCACATGGGTTAGGTTTTAAGTTGAGGCTAACGTTTCTGGTGGTTGTGACTTGAAGTCCCTCTTTATGTAGGAAATGCCTATTTTTTTCTTTGGTGATTCAGTGACCTACATTACTGCATGATCTTTTTTTTTATGATAAATGAGTTTAAGTTTTATTAAGGCTGAAAGTATAACCATTACAAGCATCCCCTAGAGAGGCACGGGATGCTACCTCTCTGTAAACAAAACAAAACACATTACAAGTGAGCCCAAAACAAAGATGGCCTATTCACTCCTTGCTTGGCTAGAGTATCCACTAACCCATTTGCTGATCTCCTCACCCATTGTATCCTCAAGTTCATATTCTTGATGATCCATTTAATTTTTTTTTATCTCACCCCTATAGCACCATATTACAGACTATGGATCCTTTAGCCAACCCACCACCAATTTTGAGTCCCCTTCAATCACCACATTGGCTATATTCAATTCATTAGCAATCTGTACTCCTTTACTGCATGATCATCTATGAAAAAATCCTGCCAACTCCTAAATTTCCCTTTCAGGACATATCAACTTGACACACCGTGTCTACATGGGAGCTTGAAACAAGCAAATTCATGGGGAACCATCTATATGTTATATAAATTTGAGAATCTCCAAATAATTGTTGAGCATCATGTTCATGTGCACCATGGTCATTCAGGAACCCTTTGCTTTAGGGATTTGGTTCAGCAAGAAAAGTGTCGGTGACTTGGAGGTAAGGGTATGCATAAAACCGGGTTTTAAAGTCACACAACTTAAAGATATCAAGGTTTTCCCACTGGATAAGCCCTTGTCTTAACAAAATCATTAATTTGAGGTTCTGAATATATTTCGCAATACACCTCATTCTTTTCTCATCCTCTCTCTCACGCCATACATTTTCAGAATTTAATTCATGCTAAGTTGGATTGTTTATAAACATTATTTGTCTGAACCTTTGTTTTATATTACATTAGTATGAATTCTCTTTTGCATTTAGAAGTTTGATGAACTAATAATTAATAAAAATTTTGTGTTTCACAAATCCTTTTAGCCTTAACCAATGTTATCAAAATTCCAAGTTCCAACCTGTTAATGGGTAATGACTGGTTAACTAGTCAGTTGAGGGCCAGATCAGCTGCATACTTAACTAGTCAGTCAGTATGCATGATGTGGTTGCTACTTGCCTTGAATGGGTAAGCATTGAACCATTGACTAGGTTGATTAATGATTAGTCAGCCTAATCAACCATAAAGGTGTTTTATTGATTTGTTTGTTCTCACCTCAAAATATTAGAAGTACTATAATATATGCCTTTATATTAATATATCCGCATTTGTTGCTTCAAGCATTTGTGATGGAATGTTTAGGTGAATGTATAGAGAACAGAAACAACACATAAAATTAAGGAATGGTGGAGGAATTTGTCTTAGCCTTCTTCCGACCAGCAGTATGCTGATCAGGAGTTTCCACAAATGAAGCATTGCATGGGCTAAGATTAAGAGAAACCATGGAGGTGGTTGTAGGGTTAAGTTTCATCCGTCTAGAAATTTACTATTCTTTGTAAAAAAAAATTGAAATTAATATTATATTAACTATTTAATGCAATTCACCTAGTTACTAACTATTTGTGGCAAATTTTCAATTTACTATTTTTAGTAATTTCTGCTTTCTTTAGACAATTGTTCTTCTACTTTAAAGATTTTTTCAAGATTATAAGTACTCAGGTTAGGTGCTGGAGTGATCTTTTTCTTGGTCATTAAGTATGGGTTTGTGATGGAAAGCCTAAGCTTGCCTACTTAGAGCTTTATAAATATAGTCTAAGCCTTCACTTAAGAGATGGAATGAATACGGATTAAGTCGCTTCTTGTTGTTCCTTGTGAAGCACGTTATCTCCAATCTCCCTCTCTTTCCATTCTTCTTTTGTGCTTTGACCACAAGTGCTTTGTGCTTTTTGTACAGATTCTATTCTTTCCATTTCTAAATCCATCTTCTTCCCTAAACACACACACACACACACACACATATATATATATATATATATATTGATCAATAATAGATTCAGTAAATTCATTAAAATAGCATAAGAATAATTACAGCAAGGAAGACAAACACTCTTATCTTCCAAATACAACTTAAATCCTCAAAAGAAAGAAAAAGAAAAGAAGAAACAATTTAGTTACAACTTGGCCCAAAACATTGTATCCCTTTCTATCCCCTGTTTAGCTAATCCATCAGCTATAGAGTTAGTTGTTCTTTTAACCCAACTCATCCTGACTTCCATTTCCCACACCAGCCACTTGAATTTCCTCCTCTCATTGCTGTCGTTCCATAATCCACAGTTGTCTTTCATCAGCCACCCTATCACCACCTCTGAGTCCCCTTCAATTATGAGTTTTCTGACATTCATCTCCTTAGCTTTTTGGGCTCCTTCCATAACTTCCAAGATCTCAGCTCTAAGGGAATCCCCCACTCCAATTGGACCTGAGAACATGGCAGAAATGACCCCGTTCTCATCCCTATGAACACCCCCAATCCCTGATTGTCCAGGATTCCCCCTATAGCTCCCATCAAAGTTTAATTTTAGAAAACCAGCAGGTGGGGGGGGGGGGTCCAAGACACCCTCACTACTGATTTGGTCTGTGTGCAGTTTGCAATCTCACCCCACTTCCTCAACATGTCATCCACTGTGTAGTCTGTGAATAACTCTAAAGATTTCAACCACTATACAGCCCTTATATGGATCACAACCCTCAATTCTTCAGCCCCTCTCTCATCTTCTAAGAAGATCCTAAGATTTCTTTCTTCCCATAATGACCAGCATACTACAACCCTCAATCCTCTCCACATAGTCCTTCCCCTTTTCATGCGCTACTTGAAAAAAGAAGGGGAAAATAGGCTCTACAAATCTGATGGAGGGTTCCACCTACGCCTAGACATGTTCATGGGCCGGGTAGCCCGATGGCCCGACCCGGCCTGGCTCGCACCCCGGTCGGGCTTGGTCATGTAATTAGGCCCGTGGGCCTGACCTCGGACCTAACACAGTAAGCCCGATTGTGTTTTGGGCCGGGCTCGAGATTTGTCAAAAAAGTCTGACCCGGCCCGACTCAGCATTATATATTTTATAAAATATATAATATGTATTTTATATATTATATAAAATATATAAATAATATAATATTTATAATTTAATATATACATTTTTTATTCTTTTCTTTATAATTTCTCTCTCTCTCTCTCTCTCTACTCAGCCGCTTCAGCAGTAGTAACAGTATGGGTTAAATTTCGGGCTCGGGCCCAGGCCCAGGCCCGGGCTTCGGGCTTTTTATAAGGGCTGGCCTCGGGCCCAAGTTGTAGGCCTGATGGTCGGGCCGGGCTCGGGCTCGGGCCTTAGAAAAATCTGTTAATACAGAGTGAAAGCCTGGCCCGAGCCCGGCCTGGCCCGACCCATGAACAAGTCTACCTATGCCCAAAGAGAGAAAAAGCCCATTCCCAAATTGACTTTGCAAATTGGCAAGACACCAGTAAGTGAAAACCAGTCTCCCCATCTGCTTTGCACATAACATACCAATGAGGTGACAAGCACGTATTGGGTCTCTTCTTTTGGAGCAAATCACCAGTGTTGAATCTTTCCAAATAGGCTTCCCAACAAAAAACTACCAACCCTAGGAGGAATTGGTCTGCACCAAACCTCATTAACCGAGAAAGGGGAGTTTGCAAGACCGGTGAACTGGCGTAAGACTTTGAAGAAGGAAGCACAAGAAAAAGAGCCCGTGGGGGTAGGGGTTCAAATTCTAGCGTTCACCTTAGAGGGGTCTAAAAAAACATTATCAAGAAGGTCAAGGAGGCTCAAAATACTATGGAGGTCTGAGTCCCTCACAACCCTCCTCAGACCCAGGTTCCACCCAAACCCAAAACTGGAAGAGGAAGGGGTGATGAAAGAAGAAATTGGCTTATTTTTAAAGTCAGAGAGAGCATACAAAGAAGGAAACTGGTCCTTGAGTGGAACAATCCCCACCCAAGTTTGTTCCCAGAATTTTATATAATTACCTAAATTCAAATCATACTTGACAAGTGGGGAGAAGACTAGAAGCAAATCATGAATGGCTTTCCTAAACATATTATTAACCATTCTAAGTTAACTTCCAAGCATTCACTAGTCCGTTTTTCTTTCTATTCTACAAACTTCATTGCTTCTCCTTTACCTAGCATGTTCACCTTAGTTGGACTTTTTTTCCCCTTTACATCATATTACAAAGATACTACATCAAATAGCCAATGTTGCAATTTCTTTGCAAAACAAAGATTGTCACTTCCTAGCCAGTGCTTAACTATGATTTTATAATAAAATTCTTTTTTTTTTTTGTGATCAAGCAGCCAATGTTTATGCACTTACTAGTTGCCACATCTCTTGGAAAGGTCATCCCCTCACTGCATCATCAACACTATCTTTGATTGGATGTATCTATGGCTCTGTGCACCTAAAAAGAATGTAAACTGTGGGGTTGTCATTCAAAAAACAATTGCCCTTTCATCAAATGTCTCAAACTGTTTGAAGTTCATTTGTAGTTGAAACAACTTGTTTAGGATAATGAGCTATCACATTAGAAAATGATGAGCAAATCAAAGAGCATTTGATAGTTTATTATAATTTAAAATTGACATGTTATGTGGAGAATATGACAATGTAGTAATTAGTAAACGTGCTTGGGTGATGTATGAGTTGCAAATGCCTCCAGGCTTAGGCAACCAAGCATGTAAGTAAACCCATGCAATGCATGGAGTTGAAATGAAATTTGATGAGAGGCTATGGAAAACGATTTTATGTGCATCTTCTGAAGTATAAGTATTTGAGACTCCAAACCTATAACTTGGACTGGAAATATAAGCCCGGGCTTGACTCTATACAGGCGTAGGTTAGACTTCTAGGTTGGGGTAGCTTGGGCTAGAAATGCTCATCCCTACTGAGAAGACTATGAGTGAGATCGTTGAGGGGGAATTTGAACAAGCTGATTGTCAAAGTGAACTCCAAGGCCTAGTGGTGGGAGAGCTAAAGAATCCGGAGACTGTCCTTTGCACATTTAAGGGATGAGATTAAGTAGCTTAAATGGCTAAATAGCAATATGATCTTGAAGATTCAATGGGTGAGAAGATTGGCTAATTGGATGGCTGATAACTTAGCTTAGAAAGGAGTCAACAGGGATCATTTTTATTGGGCTCAGTTGTAATCTGTTCTCTTATGAGTTATGTTAGAAGTGGATCCCACACCTCTCCTTGGGATGCTTGTATTTATGTATATATTGACTTTTCCTAGTAAAATTTGAAGTTACTTATTGAAAAGAAAAGACTTTCAAGTTTGAACAACCTGCTTAAGGCCTACTAAACTACCCTGAGACATCCTAAGTTGTGGGTTTAGTTTAGGTGGGGTTTGAGTTGGCAAATTGGGCTTTGACCTCAGTCTATGGCCAGGTGTCCCAGGCCCAAGGTCGATGTCTAGGGATGACTGGGCTTGGGCAGGAGCGGAGCTAGGATTTTTTAATTGAGGGGGGCCAAAACCTAGAAAACATGGATAGGGGGGGCCAAAAACTAAGAAACATGGGTAAAGGGGCCAAAATATAAGTGGAATTTAAATGGATTTTGTGGGAATTTTGAAGGCAAAGGGGGGGCCATGGCTCCCCTCCACCACCCCCTGACTCCGCCCCTGGGCTTGGGTCCGTCCTTAACTCCACCAATCCATCCAATGTATACCCTTACTTTATTAGGAGTAGAGGAATTCATTCACTCAAAGAGATTTAAGATGAGAGAAAGAGGGATTTAATGGGAGAGGGGAGAGGTTACAAACATTGATAATTGGAGAAAGAAAGAGTGTTAAGAAGGATAATATTAGAGATAGTTAAGACTAGAATTTCGATGGCTTTAGTCTAGGCAACCCATGGCTTTCAGGTGTTGGGGGAGTGATTAGGAACAGTGCAGGAGATATACCTGCTCTCTTTTCAGGACCAATTGGTAGGGGACTCCACAAGAGCAGAACTTTTGGCTATGCTAACGGGTTTAAGAAAGGTTAAAACTCTGAACTGCTCAAATGTCACCATTGAAGGTGATTCCAGGATTGGCTGAAGAACAGTCAGGAGGGATCATGGCACTACAGACATGCAGTAAGTGAAATAAGATGTATCCTGGGGCAGTTGAATATTAGCTTAAGTTGTTCCTAGAGTGGCAAACAACATAGTTGGTGGATTGGAAAAACAAGGAGCAACAAGAGAAAATATGTTTCGGGGTGTGTTGTAATTGTAAAACCTACTCTTTATGTATTGCATTGACACTGGCTAGCTGAGGCTATCCATGTTTGTAATTCCTCTTTTTCATAATTTTAATAAAATTTATGTTGTTACTGATAAAAAATAGTTATTTGATTTTTATATTTTTAATTTAAAAATAAACAAACCACATGTATGAGAAAGGAGAGGAAGAGGCGCATGCAAACATTGAGGTAAAAGAATTCTTTGCCTTCCTCTTTCCTCTATATAATATAGATATAGATTAGCTTGCACTCTCTTTGTCCTTGAACTATGTTCTAGGGGTACTGGTCAGGCATACTGGTTTGGGGCATGGCAAAGTGATAATTCTATTACTCAGAATAAAAGTAAAAAGTAAATCAAAGCTGAGTCATTAATTAATGCCAACTGTGCTTACCTCAAAATATTTAATAAGTTTACTTGAATGCATACCCAATGTTCCAGAATAGATTATTTGTCCTCCCATTTTCATTAGAATTAACTGCATGAATAATATTCATATATTTGATTATTGACTTGTTTCTGTATCCATATAATCAGACAATGAAAAAATATCATAAAATTGTCAAGAATTCAAGATGCAGAGCTGAGTGCAGGAATGGGAAATTATGATTGTACTTGACTTCAAATGAGATGTTTTGTTTAGTGCATGCCTATAGTAAAAAAACATGAGTCATGTATGTCTGTCTTATGTAAACAGAGGAACATGCCTGTTTTGGAGCAGCTACAGTAATCCGAACCAGTGAAGAAGGAAGAAGAAGATGAGGAAGAAGACAAGAGAAAGAGAGAACAGGAGGGTTTAGTCGAAACTGATTAGACCTCCATTCAGTCGACCCCCTTATGTTTATTAGGTTCTAATTACACTTACAAAGACTAAACTGCCCTCACTTAAGTGTGGGGCAGAGTACTCTAATAAAACAGCCACATAAGCAAAGTACTTAACTGACATGAGATTACTAAACTACCCCTATTCGGCTCACTCTAACAATGCCCATTGGTTAAAATAAAAAAATAAAAAATATCGAGGTATGCTACATGGAAAAAATACAGATTTGCATACAATGGCTCCAAAGAAAAACTTTATGTCCTTAGCTTACAAAAACTGTCTAGATATTTTCTTTGGATGGAGTAATGTAAATGATTAATAAAATGCAAATATATAGCATGACTTTTGTGATGGCCACAATCTCCTTGGCATTTGAAGGAGGAACTTTTTTGGATGCATAGGAAGAGCGAGAGAGAGAGAGAGAGAGACCCCTCTACTGTCTGTTTGAATTGCCTAAAGAAGACATATGCAATGGTAAAGAAGTTTAGAGGCATTGAAAGCACTCTACAAATTAACAATATGTCCTTAATATTGTCAAATAATATGGTCATGATGCTGTTGTAAGGTAAAGTGCAATTGTAGGTAAATGGATGTGCAAGGCACAGAATGATGAAACATAAATGATAAATCAGGGTCTTTTGGTCTTAATTGGATTAAGGAGTGTTTATTATCGGAAAATCCCTGATCTATGTTTGTTATTTTGTGCTTTACATGCTTATACAGCATGGGATTGTTTAGCTAGCAATTCTCACAAGGCATATGCTTTGATTTATTGACTGAGGGATTTCATTGACTTAAAATTGCTATCATTTTATTTTATTTTATTTTTCTTTTTTGACAATGTACATTTGTACTAGAATAAGTGGTAAGAGAACCCCATAAACACCTTTTGCATGGTTGTAGAGCAATGACTTGTATGGAGAAAAAACAATATATCAAAATGGAAGAAAATGCTGAAACATTGGAAGGTGTGTGTGGAAAATGAGATATGAAAATGGTATTATCTACTATAACTGATTCCTCAAGATTCTTTAATGATGAAACAAAAAGGTAAAACTTTCAATCAATCAATGATAGTATACTTGTCTGAACCCTTGTGGCTTAAATCAGTCAATTTGTACAATTGGAACAGTGACAAATGGGGGAATGAATCAAAATTCAAGGGGGGTAGTGAATCATAGGTGGAGGTGTTGGTAAATAAAATCCAAAAAACTAATAGAAGTCCATGAAGTGGACTGAACTATATGTTTCCCAAAAAAGAAACTAGAAAAGGTTCAACATTTTTAATTCATATTCCTTGGTAAATGGTCCATAGTCTTCTAACTCAAATTGCCTTATCATCAAGTCAGATATTAATAGCAATATAGCATATTATCCATATATGGTCTTTTGGAATGCATCCACGATTTTCTCATATTGTGAGTATTACCTCATCAAATGCCTCAAATATGTCAATGCTTGGTTGGTGGATTGTGCAGACTGTTGTCCTTCCTGTAGCAACCACATTTTTCACTGCACGCATGACAATTGCAGCAGCTCTAGCATCTAAACCTGATGTAGGTTCATCCATGAATATTATAGATGGGTTGGAAACAAGCTCCACTGCAATTGTTAACCGTTTGCGCTGCTCAGTAGATAGACCACTTATGCCAGGAATTCCAACCAAAGAATCTTTAATTCCTCCAAGTTCAATTGTTTCAATGACTTCTTCTACAAATTTCTGCATGAGAGATGCTCATATTAGGAGAATGATCCTTAAGTTGCAGAGTTTGCAGTTCTTTTTTCCTTGCTAGTATTGGATAGAGGCATCATAACCTTACTCTTATGGTTAGATGAGGTATGATTCAAATTTTGGAGGTTCTAGCTTAGTTTTATTGCAAAGGGGAAAACAAAAGTTGGGCATCATTTTTAAACAGTCTTTGCAACTATAGGGCTGAATTTCCATATTTTGAGTAAACCTTGTTAGTACTTGATACGGCATTAAACAAACAGGATTCATGTAGCCGAGTGGAATGATGGTGATGATGATGATAGCACTTCAAATGTGGGTCTAATGTTAGAATTTTCTGGTTAGGATCTCAGGCAAATTGGATGAACCATAAAGTAAATATCATTGTCTTGCATGATCATAAAGTGTGTTGACATGGTCCTTTAGGCTACATTTGTTTGGTATCTGGGGTGTTCTATAGCATAGTGGAAACTGGAGAGGCCTGGTTGAATGGTGATTTTCTGTTATGATTCAAGATGCATGAAATACAATGGGTATGGGGGAGGGGGTTGCTTATGTTGTACCATTACATTATAACACAAATTCTACCAAAAAGAAACAAAGATCTTTGCAACTTGGATTACTAGAATTAGCATTGGTCATAGAAGGGTTCTTACCATCAGACCCAACAAAAAATACATACTTTTTTATTTTTTGTAAATGATTGAAGAAAAAAAGTTTTGAAACTAACCGTTTCTTTTCTGATAGTAAGAGAAGGATATATTACAGACATGAGGAAGTTGTGGGGTTTCAAATATGTAACTTGGATGCTTTGTTTTGATTTAGATTTCTTTTTGTTTACGCCATGTGTGCAGGAGTTTCCTTGACACCTGACAAGATTGTATACTTTTTTTCCTTTTAATGAAATTTTTATATTTACTATCAAATAAAAAGGAGAGAAGGATATATTACAGATTTGGTTTTTTGATCAATCTGAGGTGACAACCGCAACCAAGCTGAAAACATCACTGATTCTTCTACCGTAATTTGTGGAGAATGTATATCAGTCTGCTCACAGTAACCTGCTATCCTAGCAAATGTCTCTTGGACCTTGTGGTACCCTCCAATTCTTATGTCTCCTTCAATATAACCCCCAGTTTTCCTTCCAGAAAGAACATCCATAAGAGTTGTTTTTCCTGCCCCACTGACACCCATCAGTGCTGTAAGGATTCCAGGCCTAAATGCTCCTGTAATATCACAGAGCAGTTGGAGTTTCTTTTGAGCAAAACCATGTTCTCTCATTTCCTGTGGATAAGGCATGCAAGAATTATTGTTAAGTTCTTTTTATTAGTTATTGATATATACAAACTGATAATAGTTATTATCTAGGTGGTTTACATAATTACATGATTACCTCAGGAGTATCAACATAGTACTGCACATTCTGGAATGTCATTGTCAAGGGCTCAAATGGTAGAACCATCCTCCCTAAATAATCAACATTAGTACTTTTCAAACATCTCATCATATAATTCCCAAGGGTGTATGCATATTTTGTAACTTTTTTTATCAGAAGAAAATGAATTTTATTTTATTAGTTTGGAATGTAGGAGTGATTAATACAACTCGATGACAGGAATGTCAATCCCTACTTACAAACTCAAATTACATGGATGCCTAAAATAATGCATTTTTTGTAATTTGTGCACTTTCTTTTATTGTTCGTGACTAAATTGAAGCTATTTATAAAATGTGTCTTCAGTTTCTCACCAGATTTTTTGGTTTCTTCCATGGTTACAGGAGAGAGATCAAGGTTTGACTCATTGTCCTGCTGAATACCATTGTTACAATCTTCTCTTCCTTGTAGTTGAGAGAGCATTTCTCTAGAAATAATAGCCTGATGCCTCTCCGGAGCTGAAACTCATGATATTCATATATGTAAGTGAAATAATGATTCACTCCTCATGCTTGCATATATTTCATGAAGATAAACTTACGATTCAAATAAGTTAATGCCAAGGAAAATCCGATGTTAAAAAGCATTGTAAACCCAAACAATGCTCCTAATGAGATCCAATAAAAGTAACTCTGGAAGTTTAGACCATGACTGTTCAGAACCTCCGACCCTATAGTTGTGTTTCTCCATGAAACCTACAAATAAGAAATGTCATATTATTGTGCAATTTGGATAACCTATTAAGTATACATACTCTTCATAAACCAACAAATTATGTCATTTTGACTTCACTTTTTGCCAGCGGGGAGCAAGAAATTCATTTATCGATAGTCCTATCTCAGCATATGTCATTGGAGAAAGCCAGAATCCCCACCTCAACCAAGATGGTAGAGAGGCTGCAAAAACAAAACAAAACCAAGAATAATCTAGCTGCATGGTTCTGCTTAAACTTAAAGAAAGAAAAAGCTGGCAATGGTCTTACGTCGTGGAACAATGAAACCTCCAAATAAGAACATCAGAATCAAAATCAAAGAACCGAAAGTTGAAGCAGCTACCATATTTTGGAAAATCGATCCAATGAGACAGCACATAGACGTTGCTGCTTGATGCAAAGCGAAAAGTAGAAGGAACTGGAGCAAAAACCTAATAACATAGTGAAGGCATAGATTGTGAAACCGAGAGAAAAAAAAAAAAAAGATAAAGCGTGTTTAGCATCCCTTGAAGTCTTTGAGACAATGCTCACCTTTCCACTTCAGGGCTATACCCAATTACATAGTATGTAAATACTGTCCAAAGGAAAGACTCCACCAGTGACACTGGAATTTTTAGAATAGAGGCTGGAATGGAGTAAGCCCAAGCTGGGTAGAAACAAAATGATCTTTGCTTGTAAAAAACTGGTAGTCTGGAAATGGTGAAAGACACCTCTGCCACTCCATTGGTCATAAGTCTAATAATTGTATAAAACAAAGAACCCATATAATAATTTGCATGTGATAAATCCACCATCATCCGTGTACGTATAAATACTGTCATCGTTATGAATGCAATTATCACAATCTGTTGGATTAAAGGAACCAGACGTGCATAAGACTCATGATAGAGTACATTAAGATGATAGATTGTATAAATTGTGAATACATGAATTGTAGTTGTATAAATTTACCTGTACTGTTTTGAATACATACACGAAGGAGTTCCGCTTCATAAGAAGTATTTCTCTACCTATGCAAGCTTTGAACAGGTCCCATTTGTTTAGGGAGTATATGCTGTGAGACAAAGCATTATCTTGACATTGTGATTTATCATATGGTTCCAACAGATCCTCAATTAGCTTCTCCCCAATTTGACTTGCCTTGAATTTCTCAGAGAATTGATCTATTGAAACATAACAATAGGGATTTGCAAGGTTCCAGTACTGTGCTTGATCTTTTCTGGATATTACCTGTAAATGGTCAAAACTAAGCTGTGTACCAACATTAGTAGACACACAAGAAGAAGGGACATATCCTCTTTACCTCCTGGAGGAAGTCTGCAACACCCTTTCTTTCTGGGCACTTGAAACCACAACCCTCGAAAAACTCAAGAACATAACTTCGGGGGCCATGATATATGATCTTCCCTTCTGCCATTAAAATAATGTCATCAAAGAGATTGAATGTCTCAGGTGCTGGCTGAAGAAGTGAAATCAACACAGTAGCATCTGTGAGGTGTGCCAATTGCCGAAGACAGGTAATAATCTGAAAGGTAGTGGAGGTATCCAAACCAGTTGATATTTCATCCATGAAAAAAGCTTTCGTTGGACCCACAATCATCTCTCCTAGGAAAGTTGCAAAGGAAAGCTTATTCTGTGAAGAGGAAACTTGGAAGACCTCATAGTAAAACATTACATCAGCATTTAAAAAAATTACATTCTCTTATTTTATGCTACCTGTTGTCAATCTCTTCTTCTGACCACCTGAAATTCCTCTTCTCATGGCATCCCCAACCGCTGTATCGGCACATATATCCAATCCCAGGATCTGATATAGCATTTTAGTTTACATTCATTCATAAGTGGCAGAAACATGAGAATTAATCTACTCCAATTACTACATTAATTCTGTTCCAGTTAAAAAAATATACCTTCAGAATATAATCTGTCTGAAGGTTCTTTTCTTGTCCCTCAGCTGAAATTGCCTGTCAGAATTTACATTTCTTTCAGACTGTCAACTTGAAAGAGAAACAGAGATGCACCAACTATTAATTACCTTCATGTAAGTGTCTATATCTGGATCAGGGAAAATTCCTGCTTCTTCCTCCCTTCTACTGACTTCCATCATAATTTCTTGAAAGGCAGACAAGTACAGAGTGCCAACTTACACTGTCATTATGATCAATACCACAATATTCATAAAACATTTATTGAGGAATGAAGAAGCTTACCTTTTCTGCTTCCAACACCTTGACAACGTGCTGAAAAATCAAGTGTTTCCCTCACAGTCAGCTCAGGTATGTGTAGGTCATTCTGGCTTATATAAGCTGATGTTTTTTGAGGAATAAATCCATCTAGTCTGTAACCATTGTAACAGATCTCTCCTGTGGACTGAAGAGGGGAGGGGGTTGGGGAGAAATACGTCAAAGAATTTCAAAGATTGCAGTCATGTGTTGTTAGAACACAAAGCATAAATAGAATATGCAAAAGAAATGCTAGAAATTTTGAGGAAAAGACAAGAAGGGCTGAGGAATTGATTGAGTTTCACCATTATTAGAGTGGCTCATTGGGCATTGGTTTGTGAAAGATTTCAGAGGCATTACCATGAATGATCTGTTAAGAGGATGGAAAGTTGTAGCTTATTTCCAAGTTAGTTAGGAAACCTGAAAGATTGTTAGGGGTGCAAATTGGGTACCCGGTTTCTGATTTTAGGATTTGACACTGCATTAGGCCCAGGTTTCCGGGCCAGGCCCATTCAAATTTTGACAAAGTCCCAACCCAATCCCACCCAAGTTACACTCCTGCAGATTGGTGGCGTGGAGTGCACCAGTTGTGGGAAAAAACAAATTTAATTTTGATGGATGCTGCCTTGGGAATCCATGAGATTCAGAGAGAGTGGGGGTGTAAATAGGGAGCATAATAGACAGATGCTACTTAGTTTTTCTGGTCCGATTGGCCTTGGTAATTCTTTGAGAGCTGAGATGCGGGCTTGACTTCAGGGGTTAAATTTGATGACTATGCAAGGGATGAAAGAAGTGGAGGTGGAAGGAGACTGTTGAACTGTAGTCTGTTGGATGAAGCACCAAGACTTAATTCCTTGGGTGTTCAGACCAATGGTGAAACAGGCACAAGATATGGCCACCGATTTAAATTGCCCGTTCAACTTGGTGCCTTGGTATGCCAATGATTTAGCCACTTGCAAGGGCAGGGGTGGGACTGGTCCGATTGGCCTTGGTAATTCTTTGAGAGCTGAGGTGCGGGCTTGACTTCAGGGGTTAAATTTGATGGCTATGCAAGGGATGAAAGAAGTGGTGGTGGAAGGAGACTGTTGAACTGTAGTCTGTTGGATGAAGCACCGAGACTTAATTCCTTGGGTGTTCAGACCAGTGGTGAAACAGGCACAAGATATGGCCACCAATTTAAATTGCCCGTTCAACTTGGTGTCTAGGTATGCCAATGATTTAGCCACTTGCAAGGGTAGGGGTGGGAAGAAACCAACTAGATTGGGGATGTCCATGGCTGGGATTCAATTTGTAACATTCTTATATGAGCTGTTTGTTTTATGTTAGCTGGATTGTATCATCTGCTCCAAGCCTAGGAGCAAGCCTTGTACTATTTTTTTCCATATGCTTCTGTTTTGAGCATCCTGGGCTGCTTAATGAATTTATTGTTGACTATCAAAAAAAAAAAAAGAAAAGAACTTCTAATTTTAATAAAGGTTGTCATTGCCTATTTTCTGATATGCAATTTCAAGAAAATTTTACCTTGATAAGTGGATAGGAGGTACACTAGATCCCTTTCAATGTAGGTATTGTCCTAGCATTACACTTTTTATAGAACTATAAATTGCAACCTTAGATATAGGTTTTTCAGGTTCTCCGAGTACAAACTTACAAGTAGGAAATCTCTTCTTGCCTAGCATTATTTAATTCGGAGCTTCTTTGTTTTAACATTATTGTTTCATCTCATCTTACAAAAATCTAACCTTGAGTGAGTAATTTAACTTTCTTGCAAGGGCCAGTAACAAGGTAGTTTTCCCACATCCTGGAGGACCAAGTAGAAGAGTTAACCTGCAAATGGAGAATTCTCAATGAGTCAAAATCTTGGCCTTGTTTTCATCACAAAATAAAAAACCCATGCCATATTTACTTTTGTTCCTTTCTTAAGCAACAAACTTTTGAAGACTTGCATGCTAGATTCCATGTCTGGTTATTATACTTGGATAATTGTAAATAAGCACTTGGAATTTTAGCATTAGACCATGTAACACACAGATTCGACAGGAGTTGGGTGTAGGCAATCTTTATTGGATCATCTTTATTTGCATTCAGTGCAAGCAATCTCCAATTACCATCCCATGGATGAGTTATAGCAATAAGCATTCTGACTGGAAGTCCCTGATGTTTCAATTAGTAATCCTAATCTTCGTTAGAAGGACGACCACCTTTGGTAGCATCCGTGTAATTGTAATTAAACATTTATATCTCCTTTGGTTCTTTGCATATACTGATTTTTTTCACTAATTTATGGCCATAGTTCTTTTTGACCATTTACCATTTTCTTTGTAAAAGCTTTAAGCTTGCTACCTATATCCCTGATCGGTGAATCTAACTCAATACACTATGATGAAACCTCAAGAACATGTTATTCTTGGTTCTATATGTATAAATTATATTTCAGCATACCTTGAAGGCTTGATGATTCCATTTACATCTTTGAGAATGCTTATCTTGACTTCTTGACTATTGCAACCACTCATCTTTGTAATAACCTGTTCAATAGGCATTTTGCTTCTAATAAGAGAGAAAGAAGATTGGAAAATTTAAACCAGTTGAACAGAACTGTAGACTTATTATAAATATAGAGGAAGAACTGTTCCAGTAACCCAATGAAGTTTAGGAGTTTCTAAGTCAAAATTGAAGAGTTATTCTTTAGAAAAAAATGAAAAGTTTCACAAAGAAAAATCATAGAAAGCTACAAATATTACATAAAGAAGTAATACACTTACAGAGAATATGCTTTTGACAGAGTTCCATAAAGTTGGAAGAGGCTTGCCATGAACTACCTTGCACTCTGCTTCCACACACAGATTCTTGTATCTTACCTCCACGGTAGGTAGTTTCACATCCACTCTACAGAAAAATAAGCTACATAAATATATTAAAATCCATTTGTCTGTAGCATGACTGTGAATGCATATTTCATGGTTTCATGCATATCTGTACATCATACATGGACATATGAAATCACAGTATGTTTGATACATGATTATTCATGGTCAGAGTCAGACCCTTGGGTTATCAAACAAGGAGCTTGATCTTCCTGTACCATTTCAGGTCAGATTGAATGGGTAAGTCCTTGTCCAATCTGTAGAGCACCAAAATTTAGGACCACCATCCACAATAAAATGCTGGTGGTCAATGGGTTTATTTCCTTTGTAAGACTACAAGTAATTCCTTGGATCATGTAAAATCAGCACACTACTTAAGGTAATGTCAGAGCAGCTTTTGAGTACTTAATTTTTTTCCAGTTGTATCTAAAAGTGTAAGGTAAGCATACCTGTCTATCCTTTCTCTTAGTTTTTGCAGCAATCGGAGATTGTCATGCTCAATGTGCTTAATCAGTTTCTCAATGAACATGTGTCTTTCTCCAGCTCCAAGCCTCGTAACATCTATCAACTTCTTTCCTGCTACTTGTGAGCCATTCTCATTTCCCTGGGGATCAAATAATGATGTTCTAATCCTTTGGAATGTGGGTAATCTCTGAATTGCAGCCCAGTATTGCAGCTCAACTTCATCATCATCCTCCCTTATACAATCCTCATGTGGACTATTATGGAAACTTGAAGCATAGGGATCAAGTGATAACTGAATGCTTCTCCCACTCATTTTTTACTCCATTCGAGTTGATATGCTAATCTATTCAAAAGGCCACTGTCATGGAGCTTGTAGAACTTAATAAAATTTGCTGAGTCTTTGGAAGCCTATGTGAATATATAAATGCTGCAGTCTTCTTGACATTTGATGCATGCATGGTTCTTTACTTTTCATCCTTCACAGGAATCACTTTTAGATTTTTAGTGCGGCTAACAAAAAGAAGGTTGTTTTGCCTCTAAGAAGGATATCATAGTGAGAACCAGCAAAGAAGTTAAATGATATGATCGTAATCTATCCCATCTCTAATGCCAAATGTGTTTCCACATGCTGGGGACTGGACCTACTACCGGATGGGTCCCCATGAGGACTTGCCATACACAGTTATTTTGCAGCAATGGATCTGTTTTATTTGGGGGATAAAAATAATGGAATCTAAGGTTATTGTGTTACACTCGGTTAATGGTTTGTTTTTCTGTACTCTGGGAATGACTTCTTGGTTTCTCCTTTTCTGCTCCATTGAATTCGTACTCATAAATTTGAAATGAAGTAGATGATGCAGGTGCATCAGAATTAATGATAAGGGTGGAGTAGAAATAAAGAGTTCCTAATTGCTTTTACAGTAGAACTGAAGTTTACTTAGCCAGAGTGGTTGATCAATGGAAAATGATAAAAGAATTTCTTTATTGGGAAAGAATGATGGCAATTATTGTTCTTTCTCACCTAATAGACCATGGCCCAACACCATGCCTTTTGACTTATCTTCATTCACATGTAACATGCATACTCTGTTTTTCTTCATAGAAAAATAATAAAAAAATAGATGTTTCCCACTGTTGTTGGAGAAATGGACCGTGTCATTTCGCCAATGACCAATGTCTTCCAACAGTACAAGCATAACTAAAACTTAAAACGGTTTTTTTTTTTTAAAAAAAAAAAAAATCTTAGGGAGAATGACTGATCAGTCCAGGTTAGAATTTTCTAACCCCATCGCACAGGGGGGAATGAATCCTGACTGTAAATTGATGTCAAATTCACGGGCAGGATGCGATTTATAGGGAGCTACTAGTAAGCTATGGGGGGTTGTCATTCAGAATTCTGCATTAGGTTGCAGTATACTTAACCCAAAAACAATTTAAGGGTTAAAACTTAAAAACCCCTGAATTATTTATATTTATTATGTGCTCAAACACATTGGGACCAAATCTGGTTCGTTAGTATTTAAAGTTTAATAAACTTTTCCGTGGGATTTAGGTCGGACTTGGATTTAAATACCATTAACAAATTAAAGGGATATATTTAAAATTCATCACAACTTTTCACATTTCTCTTAAATTCACCGTGATTTTTCATTACCTCCGAAGAGCCCTTGTCAGTGAGTTTAAAGCTCACCTTTTGTTAGATCACCATTAGTGTATCCAAATAAGCATTTATTTATATGACCAAACCATCCCTGTATTCCTGCCAAATAGGCCATTTTTGTCAGATGATGTATTTGCCAGTTTGTGCATCAACAGGCCACTAACTAATCCACAGCAGTATAGAGGATCAGTTGCTGCAATCGCCGGTTTGTGTCCATCTCCCTTGGATCCAACTAATAGCTCGTTTGAACAGGCTTTTTCCTGGATAGTGGCTACGACAATGAAGCGATGGGTTCGTCACTCCATTGAGTTTACGAGAGTGTTTGGTTTTGTGGGCGTTTATTCAATAAATACTACCACATAAGTGTCACTTCAGCAGTTTTTCTTTTATGGAGAATGACAAAAGTGGACTTCGGTTTTTATGCACGTCTACTATTTGGGGAAGCTATTTTTTAAAGTTTTCATAAACGGTTAGGCATTTTTCCACTGTTACACTGATGTGGCACCTAGTGGCACTTAGTTGTCATAATGGTTGTAATTATTACCTTTCAAAGTTTTGCAATTAAATAAAGTACAAAAATTGAATGAAAAAATGTAAATGAAACCAAACACATACTTAGTTTTAGAAGAAAATGGAGAAGAAAGGTAAAACAAAAGTGAACTAACAAGTTTAAAATCCAATAGGTTGTTATTTGATTGTCTCCAACATATTTGATTTTTCCATCAGTTCATAGTTCCATACGTTGAGAGAGAGAGAGGGGACAACCTCTACTGGTTTGATTGTTAAAGAAGAAGAAGATGATGAACAGTGATGCTTAAAACCATTTATCTTTTTATGGTCACTAGAGATATCTGGAAGGGTAGTATGGAAATTTTGATAAAATTATTTATCTTTTAATGGTCACTAAAGGATATTTGAAGGGGTAGTATGGAATATTTGATAAAACCATTTGTCTTTTAAGAGAGAGATATTTGGAGGGATAGTATGGAGAATTTCATAAAACCATTTATCTTTTAATGGTCACTAGCGATGATCTATTGGAATGTGAGTTTTGAATAATAAAAACTCACTAACAGGAGATTTTGAAAAGTTATAATGAGTTTAAGAAAAATGCAAAAAAGACATGATAAACTTTCGATAATATCCCTAAATAAAACGGAAAATGATCAGAATATAAATATATAGTAAAAATTAAATTTTATATTGTATTTATGAATAAATAAAATGACTTGAAAATAGCATTTAAAAAATAATATATATAAATATTATATAGATATAAGTGTAAATCTAAATATTCAAATATTAAGAGATTGGAATGGTTGGAGTATTCCATGTTGGATTCACTTGTGAAGAAAAGATCCACGTCCGATTCAATATGAACGGATTGAATTCAGATCTTTTTAAAGTTTAATCAGATCAAATTCGAATCCGATTTAGACAAATAAACACATACATTATGCATTGGTTTTGATGGCTTTGAGTTCACATCATCTTTTTTTTTTATTTTTTCAGTGAGGGTCGGAGACTTGATATCTAGTGATGATCAAGGGGCCTTAGGGTCTCATGTCCTTCCGGCAGCATAGATTCCTCACCGCCAGGTGTGAGGAGCAGATTCGTCTTTTTCTCACCTACTAAAATCAAGTAGTGGCCACTAGGACCGATGCATTTGTCATATCAAATCAATCTCAGAAATCTTGATGCTTCCGGTGAGGTCTTGTCCATCACTAGGAAGAAGATTCCCCCAAAAGCACCGGCACCACTACGGCACTACCATAGTTTCTAGATACCTCAATTGACAATTCTGGTATATTCTTTTCTTTAAAAAGAAGAAGAAGAATATGAGGAGAGGCGTAATCTAACCGAATCGATAGAGCTGAATTCAAATATGACAATTGGTGGGTTTTTAGGTATTATACTTTTTGAGTACTGTTTTCAAGCCGTCATTGACGCAGCTCGGGAACTATCCAATCGATCGGTTCTGTTTTACCCTAAATCCAATTTATTGGTTAAAAAGCATTAAATTGGTTAACGATTAATTAACTCTCATGGTTGAACTGTTGATCTGTTTGCCTGTTTTGATTGTTTTTTATTTTAATTATTATTTTTTTTTTATTTTTTGTTAAAATGGGTTATCCATTCAAATTGGATGATTGAATTGTTAACCTAAAAATTGATGGCTAGAACGATTCCGATTCCAGGTCATTTTCTTTAAACATTACTTTTGAAAGAACTGGGCTAGAGACCAGAGCGAGAGCTCTTTTTATAAAAGAAAATTAATGCCCTTCTTTAAAAAGAAAAACCCATTTCAGATTCAGACCATAGTAACCTTTTTGGACTCTCTAATATTGCACCACATCAGGATTTTGTGAAACAGAACTAGGATTCTATTTTAGAAAGCTAGTTTTGCTTTTTATTTTTTTCTCTTTTGAAGACCAACCTTATCAACTTTGCAGATAAGCTTTGTCTGTGGTGTGGTTCTGAAATAGAAACAAAAATTATTGATAACAACCTTCATTTTTCACTCCTTTTCAAGACGAGTTCACATCTTCGCCCCACAGCACATCCCCACCGTGTATTGGCAACATCGGGAGATTGTGGGGATGTGTTGTGGGGCATTGTGGGGCAGCCCCTTGTGGGTAGGGGTGGCAACGAGCCGAGTTTTTCACGAGCTGCTCGAGCTCGGCTCGGTTTCAACCAAACTTGAGCCCAATTCAGTGGCTCGATTATTAAACGAGCCGAGCTTGAGCCTACTAGAGCTCGGCTCGTGAGGCTCGCAAGTCGGCTCAATATATATATATATATATAATAAAAATATTATAATTATTAATTATTATAATTCTTAATTTTTAAATATAAAATAAAAAAAATTATATATAATTTTTATTTTTATAAAATATAAAACGAGTCAAACTCAAACTTATGAACTTTTGACTTGAACCGAGCTCGAGCTCAAGGTTCTGGCTCGAACCGAGCTCGAGCCTTGTAGAATAATCTCGAGCTGACTCTCTTGTGGGGCGGAGATGTGATGTCTTTCAAGACCGCATAAAAACAAAATGAGCCAGACTAACCTCTCTTGCATTATGGTATGGGCCGTTCATGGAAGAGATGCCAGAATTAGTCATATAGAGAGTGATCATCATCCATAATTTGCACAGGAAGCAAGAACATCGCTTTAATCGGCTACAACTTGGACGCTTGGGTGATGATGGATCTGCATGCATATCAATGGTTCATTAATTATGCCTATGTGTGGGTATTACTAGTATTTAGGGATGTAAACGAGTCGAGTCAAGCTGAATTTTGACATGTCTTGATTCGATTCGACTAAAATATTATTATGTCCGATTTTGAGTTTGAATTCTATTCGAATACGAATTATTTTTTTTTTGGTTCACTTGAGTTTGATTAAATATTTGATGCGTTCGAGTTTGATTCAAAAACTTGAAAATGAATATATTTTTATATTTTATAAATATATATGATATGTTTTTATAATATATAGAATATTTCTATATTATATATAATATATATATATAAGTATATATATATTATAAAACATATTTTTATATTATAAAATATGTATGTATGGACATAGTAATCGAGTCAGGTTTGCAAAGACCCAGTACTATGAGGTCTGCCACAAAGGACCCCCTGTACTTTGTTTTGCGACAGACCTCCCTGTATTATGATCATGAGACAAAGACCCCCTTCTGCTAGCTTTTCACTGAAGTCCGCAGTTATAATATTTTTTAATCCTCATATTACCCTTATAATAATTATTTGAACAATTGGAAGAAAAACAATGTTCATCTTCCCTGATTTCACAATACACAGAACAGCAGCGACAAGCTTTCGTTGAAGTCCTCCCTCTCTCTCCTCCTATCTCTCTTCTTCCCCTTCCCCTTTCTCTCCTCCCCTTTTTTCATTGAATTTTTCTCTATTTTCCGTTCCTTGCAAATAGAGAAAAATCGGACTGGGCACACCAAAACAAAATTTCTGGGTGAACATCGATACCGGAAGCAACTTGAGTTGGGCCTGATGCCAATCCTGTACTAACTGCTCCAAAATTATAGTTCATCTGATGATTATATAGAATTACAAAATAACAACCATGATCTGAGTTCATTATGATACTAACCCATCTCTAATTTCTGACTGTGAGAGGAGGAGTCAAACATTCACAAATTTATAAAAGGTTTTGGCTGATTGGCTGATGGCTGTGACTCCAAGCAACGGGTGGTGGTTGAATTGTTGGAAAGATTCTCTACCTCTCATCTTCTCCTCACCGGTCACCCCTTTACACACACCATGATTACTATGTCTATGTAAGTGAAAAAAGAGTCACGAGAGAGAGAGAGAATATATATGTATTGTATGAACATGACAACCGATCCATCCATTCAATTTCCAAGTGGCCCTTAAAAACTTTACCTCCATTAATACCCATCTCCCTATCGATCTATCCTCCACACCTTGCTTTATTCTTCCCTCCTTGAGTCCCAACATAGCCAAATAACCATGCTAGCAAAAGAAATTGGATTCTTGTAATTAATCTGTCATCATCGTTGTTTGGTATAGACTAAGCTTGATTGGAAATGTTAGCGTATTCTATCCACATTAGTATCTTAGAACTAAGGAGAGATAGTCCTATCGAAATTAGTATCCTATCATTATCTCTTTAATTCTAGGAGGAGACCTTTCCTTAATTCCAGGATACTAATGTGGATAGAATACACTAACAGGAAAAATACTAGACGAATGAACATGGCTAGTGTAGGAGGATGGAGCAGAGAGGAGGAGAAGGCGTTCGAGACTGCAATTGCGATGCACTGGGCAACTGACGACTCAAAAGACCGATGGGAGAAGATTGCTTCCATGGTTCCAAGTAAGACTGTAGATGAACTGAAGAAACACTACAAAGTTTTGGTCGAGGATGTAGATGCAATTGAGTCAGGCCAAATCCCGATTCCCACTTACGTCAAGGAGGAGGCTGCCAACAGCAAAGATCAGCACCTCTTTCCTGCTTTTGCTTCTAGGGCTGCTGATAAGAGGTTGAACTGTAATTTTGGAATTGGGTTTTCTGGGTTGGGCACTGATTCAGGCGAGGTTGGCATCAGACTTAACTCAGGCGGGGTTAAATAGGTTTTAAGATAAATAAGACAAAAAAAAAATAGAAAAAGTTTAATAAGGTATTTTGGTAATTTAACACATTCCATCATCTAACTTAACGGTCAAGGGAGATCTTTGTCTCATGGTCATGATACAGGGGATCTTTATCGCACAAGAAAGTACAGAGGGTCTTTGTCACAGACCCCATAGTACAAGGGTCTGTAATTTACTCTTCTTTTTTTTTTTCAAACATGAAATGAGTATAAGGCCTATTTACCCCATAAAACAGGTCAAACCCTGAAGCAATTACTATAATCGCGAAATTTTAATCCTTATTGGCATGCTAATTGTTTCATTGGCACAAAATGTTTTAATTGGCTGACACTGTTCTTTGTCTTTTGATACCTCAACTAGTAGGCCGACCATTAACTTGGGTACTAAATTCATATGGATGTATGCGGTCATTGTAGTCTTTTTTGTGTCTCAAGATACTCGTATCTTCCTACGACGACATGGGTATCTGCACTATGGTTTTTAAAACCGATCTGGAGACTGAATCGTTCAGGGTTCGATTATCGAGTTGAACGGTCGTTCTATTCTGACAAAAAATAAAAATAAATAAAAAATGGTTAAAACCGTTCAAATGGTTCGAACGTTCAAACGCCTGGGTCAGCAGTTTACTGACCAAAATCAACAGTTTTCTCTAAAATCGAAATCGGTCACCTGACCAGTTCCCGATTTTTCCGATCCGACCATCTGGTCCAATCCAGTTTTGAAAACCATGATCTGCACAGTGTAGATTCTTATGAAATTGCACTATCTTTTGTGCTGACCTTTTTACAATGAAATCTTTATTTATTATTATTTGGGTAAATTATAGATAGATACCCTACTTTGGGATAGTGACAGATAGGTATCCTAAACTTTTAATTACAACATTTGAGTACCCCTGAATTTTCAAAAATAGATACTTAGTTCATCCGTTAGTATTAGTTAGTTAAACATTACATAATATCAAAAATACCCTTCTCGTATATTTTTGAGATCATTCTATGGAGTAAAATCACCACTAAAGAATATGATCATTGGAAAATTTGAATCTGTTATTCACTATCTATGTGAGAATGCAATCATGGGGAGACATTTGGTTACCTGAGAATGATCTTAGAAATACACAAGAAGGGTTTTTTTTTTTCTTTTTTTGGCATTATGTGATGTATAACTGACGAATAGTAATGATGGACCCAAGCATCTATTTTTGAGAATTCAGGATACTCCATGTATTGCAATTGAAAATTCAGGTACCTATCTGTCATTACCCCAAAAAGACAGGGCTATCTGTAACTTACCCTTATTATTTGATAGACATGGAACTTTTTAAAATGAAATCAATAGCTTGATTTAGAGATGCAAAACCCATATGTAAAGAAAAAGCTTGTTTGCTGCATTCATTCATTTGGATGGTCCAGAGCCAAGAAACTGGTTATATATTTTCTATGATGCACAAGTCCTCCTCATGTTGCATTTACTGAGCCCCTTGCAATTGCAAATGAATAATCCATCCCTGAGACCCAAAAAAAAAAAAAAAAAAAACCGTGAAGCTAATTATTTATGTAACCAAGTTAAGCTAATTATTTTATGCTTACCCCACAATTAATAATGCTTTCTAACTTGCTAAGGTGACTCATGAGACTTTGGATTCAAAACTCAAAGAGTACTTTATAGGTAATGCAGCAATTACACATCATGACTCATGAGACTTGACCCATGTGGTTTTCTTGCAACGAATTCCGAAATGATGGCTTTTGTTTTCTTATATTTTATCCACATGTTGGACGCTTGACATGTAACACCTCTTCATGGGGCTTTGCCTCTATTAAAAAATGTTTACTTCAAATGCCAACTTTATATAAATTTCGTATATATAATTATATATAATTATTATAAATATTAATATATTTTTATTAATGTAATACTATTAAGCTAGGATTACTTAATAAAGCCCAAGCCTGATCCAAAAATAGTCAAACCCAATGCTTAGAGCCTGAACCCAAGCCTATGAGTCTAAAATTTTGTCCAAGCTTGACAAAGGATGGATCAGGCTGGGCCGGCCTGTTGAGTCACCCGACCTATGAATAGATCTATTGGAACGGTCTCCTCACTTCACAATATTCATCACCCACCCCTGGGGTTTGGTCAAATACTAATACCACCCCTCATATAGTCAGTCATATTTACCTAATCATTCCTACCCCTTTGACTAGGGCTGCGTGTTGGGTGGGCCTAACATTAAGAAAAATCCGATTATTTGGGTTGGGTTCAGGTTTGGTCTTGGTTCAAGTTAGCCAATCAGTCTAATTTGAAATTTGATGTATGTATTTTATATATATGCAAAAATGTATGTATGCATATAAGTATAATCGGGATGGTCTCAACTCTCAAGTTACCTTAGAGTTAGGCTGAACCCAACTCAGACCCAACTTGAAGACCAAAAATCCAAACCCAACTCATATAAAACTGTGGGTTGGATTAGTCTGGGTTTGGCCAAATTTTGCCTACCGTAAAACTATAAGTAACATGCCAATGGGAGAGACAGGATTTATGCATAAATAGGCACTTTATAAAACACCCTTACTAATAAAAGTTTTATTATAAAATATATGTATTTTGAAACTGATAAAAATACCATCATTTATAAACACACTTTTAGATTGCCTTCTCAAAATTTGTTCTTATGCTGTTTTTCCTGATCCTGCATTCAACTTGCATTCCCACCTTTGAGTTAAAAGGTTAAAAAAACATTTACACCAGAAAGGATAAATGGGTTTTTGAAAATAGTATTTTTAAGTTCATTTATATTATTATAAAGCGAATGCTTATCTTAGTTTTAGTGCAGGTTAAAAAAACTACTGTTATAGGTCCCAGATGAACAGCCTAAGCTATGTTTGATGAATGATTATTTACACTTTTACAGTAAAGTATACAGGATGGTATAATAATTAGTAATTATGATAATAAATAGTAATTATGGCTGGACACACAATGTCATATAAATAATTTGACTTTTGATGTAAAAAATTATTTGGGCACAGGGCATACCACACGGTGATTTAATTTGATATGGACACACCACATTTTACATCTCATTCCTTCATGTGTATAGGTTATTGATGAAATATGAAGACAACTTTATTATTTAGGATTTTGGGATAGGGCTGCAAATAGATAATAGGTAGACCCAAAATTTCTTGGTCAGATATTGAATGGTATAAAAAAGTTAAATTTAAAATGATTAAAATATTATATATTATTAATAAAATGAATTAAATATAACATTCAAATCAACTTTAGATTCTTTTTTTAAAAAGGAGTCATAAACAAAAGAAATTAGGGTCCGTTTGGTTTGTAGGAATAGGGGTTTGGAATTGGAATCGGAATGGACTATTTCAATTCTAACTGTTTGGTTGGGCAGAATTGGAATTCTATTCCCATTCCTACTAGAATGGCATTCCCCCGTTTGAGGAAATGGCTATTCCCTGCCCCTCTCTTGGGAATGAAATCCCATTCCTGCTGATTTTAATTCCCATTTTCATTCCTGTCTGAACCAAACAGACTATGGATGGACCATTCCAATTCTGATTCTGATTTCAACTACGAACCAAATGGACCCTTAGATTTTTTTTAGAAAAATAATTGTGCAATGGAGAGGCAATAACAACATCCGTTAAAACTGAAGGATGGGATATCCATCACATGGACGCCCAAGTTTTGCGGAATGGACAGGGCAAATTTCAAAAAAAATTTCTCCCATCTTTGCAGGAAATCGAATTCCCTATTTTAGAAAAACATATTTTTCAATGATCAATCTTGAACCATGAACCAAACCAGATCTGAACCAAAAGGAGTAGGAGGGAGGATGTACCTGATACGGAGAATTAGTTTCTCCCAATGGAGGTGTTCACGCCCAAGGAAGGATCCAAAGACTGCTCCCACTGAAGATGGCGCA